CAACCATAGTGGGTTGGGTGCCTCCGATCAAGGCATGGATCTAAGGGCCCGGTGGGCCGTTGGACCCACACGGGAAGAGATCAACCTAACAAACGGTGCTATCTGGATAATACTGCCATGCGCTCCGAACAACTCGCTCGGTCTGAAAATACTTATTGAAGAAATGAATATATCTAGACGTATTTTAATTCTAGATACATTCATTTTTATCCATTTCTGCGACTAGTCTTACACACGAAGGAAGTATTTGTCTTGGATGTGGCAAGCTTTACGAAACGGACGGCTCGACGTCGCGCGCATAGAATCCGGCTTGGTCCCTGACGTGGATCCGTGCTGTTCCCGTGCGCCAACCAACAACCCGGCCCCACTAATCCCGTCTCCGATCGTCTCATCTTCATCACAGGCCCCACCCCAACAGTACCACCACCCACAGCTTCACCGCTGCCCATTCTCCACGTCCGCCCGACACTCCCGGCGGCCCGTATTTATAGCCACCCCGGGGTGGAAGGGGTCGGATCAGAGCACCGTTGAGCTAACATCTGAACAGCACAGAGAAAGGATCACACACCCAGCTGGTGGCGATCAAGCAGCCAGCCAAGAGATCACAAGCCCAAAGCACACAGACATACACTCAGAATGGTTGTGGAAGAGGCGATGGATGGCGACATGAGCTTGTCGAACATGGTGCTGAGCTTCCTGGAGGAGGGAGAGACGGAGAGGTGGCCGGAGAACGACGAGGAAGACGACGATGAGGAGGGATCCAGCGGCGGCGGTTCCGCCGAGAGCAAGGCCTTCTGGCGCGCCCAGCACTCCCAGCTTCACGTAAGTTTTCCTCCTCCGTTCCGTAGCCAATTCGTGTGATCGCACGCGAGTCCTGACGGGAGAGACGCCATGTCTGCTTGCAGGAGGCTTTGGGCAAGACGAGCACGGCCGAGAGCAGGATCCGGGCGGTGACGGAGGAGGCCGTGGAGAAGATGCGCGCCCCCGCGGGGGCCTTCTGCTCCTGCGCGAAGCGGGCGGCGGCCGGTGACTGCCGGAGCTGCATGCTGCGGCACGTCTTGGAGCGGCTCCGCGACGCCGGGTACAACGGCGCCGTCTGCAGGTCCAAGTGGGCGCGGTCCCTGGATATCCCCTCAGGTAACTGGTTGTTTTCGAGACACAGTGGTTGGGTTCCTCCTAAGGCTGGTCATAGTGGGAAGTAACTTAGACTAGTAACATACATATGTTACTAGTCTATGTTACTACCTTCATAGTGGGTAGTGTCATAGGTGTGGTAACATAGTTGCCTTCATTTATTACTTTGTAGACTCATTATACATTGGAAACCGCTATGTGATGGTAACATATTATGTTACTCTATTTGTCTCTCTCCTCATTAACTACTTGCCACATCATCATTTTTGCTTATGTGGCATCTATGTTACTACCTATGTTACTCCCACTATGACCAGCCTAAGATAATCTTCAGACGGCGTAATTAATTTAGTGAAAGAGCTGGCTGTTCAGTTCCAGCAGAAAAGTGCATGCCCGGTTGGCCTGTAAACCGTGTGGTCTAGGGACGTCTGACCCGTCGTGCCGATTCGAGGGATCCGTGTTTTGATCCTTCTGAATTCTGATGAAGCGTTCTTCGTTTTGTTGCGCTGTTTAGAGTTGATGAACGCCGGAAGCATATTCGCCTACTAACCATAGTAGTAGAACTTCTCGTTAAAGAAGTGGGTAAGAAAAAGTAGTAGTAGCAACTTGTCATATTCGCCTACTAACCATAACCATAGTACTAGAACTTTAAATTAAAAGTGTGTGGGAAAAGGATGTAGTAGTAGTAACTTGTCAATTCTAAAAAATGTCACATGCATGCCTCACATGGACCTGGTCATCCTACGCCCAAAGAAACGGACGCTTCCAAGTAAATTAGTGTCAGGCACCCGTCGCCGTCTCCATTATTTCCTGGCCGCCCGTGACATGAACTTGCATTGCACCTGGCCCGACCAGACCAGTCGACCAGATGTTATTACACCACGTTTAAGAACACTTCCAAAACCGCACGACAAAACGACACATGCCAACCCGAAAACCGCACGTCGTCTGCTAAGCAAAAAGTTTGGTGTCGATCGAAGCTGACGTTTTCCTCCCTGGTCGATCTGTGACGTGCAGGCGAGCACAGCTACGTGGACGTGGTGCTGCAGACGCGGAGCGGCAAGGCGGCGCGGGTGGTGGTGGAGCCGAGCTTCCGGGCCGAGTTCGAGGTGGCGCGCGCCGGCGCCGGCTACGGCGCGCTGGTGGCCGCGCTCCCGGAGGCGTTCGTCGGCCGCGCCGACCGGCTGCGCGCCGTCGTCAAGGCCATGTGCGCCGCCGCCAAGCAGTGCATGAAGGAGAACAACATGCACCTGGGCCCCTGGAGGAAGCACAAGTACATGCAGTCCAAGTGGCTCGGCACCTCCGAGCGGGAGGCGCCGCCGGCGCTCGACGCGGTGGCCGCCGGCTCGCTGCCGCCGCCGGAGAAGCAGCCCAAGTTCAGGGCGTCCATGCTGAGCTTCGACTTCGGCCGGGCCCCGGTGGTGGTCGCGTGACGCGTGCATGGCGTCAAGAGGGGTATGATGCCATGGTGTCACGTGTATGTGCCCATGTTATTATAGACCGTATGCCGTATGCCATGCCGGGCACTGTAGAAGGCCATAGTAGTACTTGTTAGTAGAGTGTGTACCGGGGATTGTAGGTTGTGCGTAGTCAGGATTTGTAATTTCTTGAATCTTCTGCTCTTGAAGAAGAGAAATCCGTTGATGGAGATGAGAGTAAAAAAGTTATCTAGTTTTCACAAACCACAGGCTAATTTTCATCCCTTAACTTTACAACCAAACAAACCAGGCAACTAGGGCGGAGCACATCCCCTCAACCTCTGCCTACCGCTCCGGCAGCTGGTGGCGGGGAGGCAGCTCTAGCTAGTAGATAGGTTAGGGTTAGGTCTTTGCGGAGGCGGCACTCGGCGGATGACAGATCATCGTTGTCAAAATGGTCTTCCTGCCTCCAATGCACCTTGAATTCGTCCATCGGGACAAAGATGACCGAGCTCCTTCATAGATCCATGTCATTACCTCAGGGTGGTCAAGGTTAGGGTTACTTGTTGTGTGTTTGCATGAGCGAGATCTGATGTTAGGTACTGCAGATTGATTCAAGGGTTCAACGGTGGCAACAACGGCTTTGGGGTGCCTGTTCTCAAGGGCACGTGCTCGAAGACTTCTCAGTTGTCATCGACAAGATTAGGCCTGCTCCGATATGGCAACAACGAAAACAACATGTCATTAGCTCATCCTGGTGGTGACGGTAGTGGTCTAGGGATCTCAGTGTAATTTTTATTATATTGAGGGTGTATTTGTATTTCGGATGAATCTTTATAAAAGATTCAAGTCCTTTTCAGAAAAAGAACACGTCGTTCATCACAAACTTAACTACAAATAGAAAGATAGAAAGCTATTTTTAGATAGAAAGACATCAAGTTAACTACAAGCGAATCATGATTAAAGAAAATACTAGAATCATAACAAGCGGGTATCACACCCATTTTAGTGAGGAGAAAAGTCTATTTTTGCGACTCAATTCTTTGGAAGTGAAGATTCCGTCCTTAAACTCTCGAAATCATACATCTTACACTTTTAACTCATCAAACCAGACAAGTTTAGTCCCTCGTCTTAGCGTACCTGGTATAACTCCTGACTCTACGCGGTTTTTGATTGGTCCATGCTGACGTGGCAAAGGAGACCGTTAAGTTGATGCGTACGCTCACACAATGGCTCGCCGGACCGGTGCCGGTTGTAGGCAAAAGAGAGGACATGCATAGGGATGCGACATTGGCTCGGTGGACCGGCGGCGGTGGGAGATGTTACTTCAACTTGAGATCGATTTTAGCTCTGATATTTTAATTTTACATCGATTAAGTTGTAGGAAGCATTGTATCATATGTTTATTTGTCGATTTGTTACCTGTAGGCTTTAAATGTATCGTCTTGGTATTTTGCCTATCTGTTTTTATGATGGAGGTTTTTCTTAGGAACGGATTGGCTGCACCATGTATATGACATGGCACTTCTTGGGCCGCAATGTCACACGTCATGCTAGAGAAAATATTGTATCCATGTGCAGCTTCAGTAGGTTTTTCCCTGGAAAAGAACTACATAATGGATTGGGGTAGAGGATGGCAAACAACATAGTAGAGGAATGGGTAGCTGACATTTTTGTTGATCATTTGCTAGATAAGCGAAACAAAGGAGAGTGACTTTTGAGGATGATATGGATGTGGACTACTGTTTCGAAGTTGATGTGTACAATCTAAGTAGTTTGCATTAGAGTGTTGATTGGTCAAAACGGCGCCAAGTCTGCAGTGATACCAGGTCGGCGCTGAGACGAGGGACTAAACTTGTCCGGTTTGAAGAGTTATTGTTGCAAAATGTCTGGTCCGGAAGTTAAGACAGAAAATATGCACTCTGTGAAGAGTTGATGGATGAAAAATAGACTTTTTTTTTCCTCTTTACTACAAGGGAGGAAACATTCAATTCACCTTGGCATCCACTCTACTAGGAGTACAATACATCGACAACAATCGGAAGGTGCTCTGCTCAGTTAACTTCTCCACATTATAAGTTTAACAAATCTCAGATTATCCTGATGAGTGATGGGAATCTAGGACTAGGGAGTCCAGAAAGAGGCCCAGGTGTACTTCTTCCGAAGTTCGATTTTTCTTTTGGGACTCTCAGTGTTAAAAAGGGCGAGTCAATGACAACAAACATTCAAGCACAAAAACAGAGTATATTTTCAGGGACTTTGCATAGGCACAAGCAACACAAAAGGAAAATAATAAATCAAGTTGAACCCAGAGAAGTACTTACTATGCTTTGAAAAAACAAATACAAGCAAATGGGACTTTTTTATATATATATACCAAAAGAAACTTTTGATATTTACATTATAAGGACTACCTGGACTAGAACAGATTGGAAGAGAGAAGATTAGTTACAGAAGCTTTGGTGGTGGAGGTCCAGAGAGATCATGATGATGATGGGGATGCTTGAGCTTGTGGAGCCAGTGGGCTAGCCATTTCTTGGGATCATGATTCTCCTGGCAGTTTGAGCTTGGCATATTGTCAAGTGTTCCATCTCTTTCAAGAACCATCTTGAACTTGTCCAGTAATTGAACTATTTGCCAGAATTCAGGCCTTTTATCTGCTTGCAAGGCCCAACACTGCTCGATCAGAACCCGTAATGCAGCTGGGCAGGTAGCAGGAATGGCCGGCCTCACATTCTGAAAATGGAAAATGTTAGTCATTTTCTTCTTCTCAGAAAGCACAGAATCAGAAATTTAGAATGTACATGGACTGTTCGAGAAAAAAGAGTGTATATAATCCATGGAACTAATTTAAGAAAATGTCCACATAGATGTACAATTTCATGCTCTCTCCATCTGGAACAATTGTATAATCTCAAGCTAACAAAGTATTACTGGACAGGGACAGAAATGGGACCAGATGAGTGCATACCTTGTCAAAAACAGCAAAGGCTGCTTGGAACGGAGTCAAATCTTCATAAGGCACGGAGCCGGTAAGCATTTCCCACAAGATAAGGCCGAAGCTGTAAACATCAACCTTTCGACCATAGGGTTTGTGCTTCATCATCTCTGGAGCCATCCATCTGAAAGTCCCAGGATCGTTCGCCAGAGGATCACAATATGCTTCTTCGCAGGCTATTCCAAAATCAACAATCTTGGCGCAATCCCCGTCAAATATGATGTTCTCCGGCTTCACGTCACGATGTACGATTCCTTGCGAGTGGACGTACCCCATGCCGTGTGCGATATCCAAGCCAACTGAAATGATCTTGTCCAAAGGCAGAGATTTGTGCTCTTGCTTGTGCAAGAATGATCTCAACGAACCACCAGAAAGGAACTCGGTGATGACGCAGAAGACTGGCGGGCTGGTGCATGCTCCAACCAGCTACAAAATAAATTGTATTTATGGATCAATAATTGACTTTGTTTTGCAATGATCACATCAAAGATGGGATCACGTAAGCAAGATTTCAGGACTGTGAGTTGTTACTAGCATGGTCATACAGGACTACTACGTTAGGCATGATGTAGGAACACCTGAAGTATAACGCTAGGTACCGATAGAAACGTAGTACCAGAAACTTGCCATTTCAGGGAAGAAATCTAAGTCAGCTGGCGCAAGGCTAAACGTAAGGATTACTCCTTCTATCTAATCTAGAAATAATTTTCGTGGATTGTTTCAAGCTTGTTTGATAAATACATATCGATCTAAGCACAAATTGCCTAAAACCAAATATTTCTGTGGAGGAAACTCGGGAAGTTACCTTAATGACGTTGCGATGCTGGAGGCGGGACAATGTGACAACCTCCGTGTTGAACTGCTTCTCGAGCTGAGACGCCAGCTCCGCGTCTTCGTCAACGTCAGGCTGCCTGATGAACTTGACAGCAACGGGTACCTCCTTGTAGATTCCATGGAACAGACGGCTGTGCGCCCCGTAGGCGAACTTCTGCCCGATGAGGAGCTGCTTGCGATCCACCGTCCAACTATCGAGCACCTTCGTTGCGGCCGCCTTGGCCCTTTCGTTGTCCCAGTGCTCCTTCCTGTGGTGCTTCACCTTGGCGGGCGCCTTGAGTGGCGCGTCCGCCGGCGGCGCGCGCGGCGGAGACGAAGATTTCCGGCGCGGCGGCGGCGGCGTGGAGAACCTCTTGCTGGCTGATTTGGCCTCCTTGAACACCTCGGGCACGGGGCGGTTTGGGAGAGGGGACCTCGCCCTCAGCATCTGCGTAGAGCGCCCCTCTGGGAGGACCCTGAGCGAAGAGCTGCGCACCGGCGGCCGCGGCGCGTCCAAGACCGGCGTTTTCTTGGCCGGGAAAGGAGACGGGCTGGAGCACACCCTTTGCAGCCTCATGCTCTGCTCCTCGGGGTGGAAGGAGAACTCGAGAGGCCCAGGGCTGTCGCCCTTGCCCGGCTCCTGAACCTCGGGCTCGGAGCAGACGTCGACGAAGAGGTTGTTGCGGCCCCTCGTTCCGTTGGCAGAGTTGTTGGCCGGTGCTGACTGCGGCGGGCGACCGTGATCGGCAGGCTTCTCGTGATGATGCACCGGCATGGCGTTGGAGAAGGCATGGTTGAGGTCCGTCTTGGGCTGGGCACTCAGCGACCTTGTCCTCGAAATGGGGGCCGCGTTGGTGGTGGCGGAGGCCTTGGTCCTGGGCTCGAAGTTCATGCCGTGGAGCTTGAACCCGGAGTCGGAGCCCTTGTTCTGCCTGAGCGCGGCGCCGCGGTTGAACTGCTCGACGAAGGCGCCGAACTGCTCCCTGCCGGAGTTGGAGCGGACGACGGAGTGGGAGAACCTGGTCCGCCGCACCCACGAGTAATCCTCGTCGTCCATGCCGACCGACAAGATGGACCGATGCAGTGGATGGATGGACTTGATTCGATGCGACGGGAGCGGCGAGTCGCTGACTTGTTATCAGGCTTATAGGAACCTGGACGAGAAAAACCCGGATCCTAGAACGTCCCAGAGCTCGTTGAAGAGACGCCACATTTGCTCCCCCTCTTCCGTTCTTCTTATGGCATGCCTCGATTGCTCTGAATTCACCCGCAATCGGCCACCCCTGGATCAATTCAAAAGCAAAACACTCACGAGATCAATACACACACACAGCTTTGTGAAAGCCACGATCGGGAGACCTCGGAATTCGGCGCCTATTCCACGCCAAATCCCCCGGCCGAACGCAACGCAACCGGTGCCCAAATCCAAAAGGAGTTGGCCCTCCTAATCTGAAACCGGGAAGAGTCACGGCCGCTTACCCGATGGGAAGGAAGGAACACCCGAATCTATCTACGCCGCGCGCCTGCGCCTGGGAGGAGGCAGCCGGCCGGTCGGCCAAGAACGTGGAGGGATGGAGGGAGGGAGCAGCGGCGACGTGGGTTAAGGCGGGGAGAGAACCGGGCGGGGCCGAGAAAAGGCGGGCACCTCCTCCTGCCGGTGGACGTGGGTGGGGCGTTGGAATTTGCCGGGAGGGGTGGAGGGAGGGAGGGATGGATGGGAGGGGGGAGGGAATGTTGCGACGGGGGCACGGGACGTTCCAATCGCTCACCGAACGAATCCAGCAGCTGTGCCGGGGCCGGGGCCGGGCGCCCTTCCTTTCTCCTCCTTTTCCTGCCGGGCGGCGCGTGAACCTGAAAGGCGGAAGGAAGAATCCTCTGCCCTCTCTTCCGCGCTGTAAAATAAATAGGGCAGGGGGGTGCGCGCGGGGCGGCTTTGGGTTGGGGGCGGTGTGGGACTTGTTCCCCGGAATACAATTCTTTCTTTCTTTTCTTTCTTTTTTTGTTTATGGGTCAATCATGAGAGACGACTTTGGGACTAGTCTAATCCAAAGCCAAAAGCTGTTTGTTTCTGGTGAGATTTTTGTTTTGGAACACTGTTTCTGGTGAGATTTGACGCGCACGGTTTTTATATGAAGGAGAGGAGAGGAGATTCGTTCCTTCGCGGGACTCCCCGCGTCCACGTGGATCCCGTGTAGGGTCCTACGATTCGTCTACGACCAGGCCGGTACGTGGGGTGTCTCATTTCGAGTGTCGTGCTGAAAGTCAGTTGTTTGTTGCTGTTTTACGTGTCAACGATAAATTTTAATTTGGGAGCTCCTATTGCCAAAATATATAGTAGAAGAAAATCCAACAAATGAATCAACAGAGCTAGCAATAATAAAACAGTTAAAAAAACATTAGCACAGGCGAGAAAAAGAAAAGTTTTTTTTCTGTCAGTAAACAAGAAGACATATACTAGAAAAACATAAACTAAAACGAAAAAAATCTTATTATAAAATAAAATGAATTAAGAGCATGGGTACTATCGTAAAAGGAAAAAGACCTAAAATCATACACCGACGAAAAATTGCAAACAAATTAGATATGGCTTGCATTGTGCCATAGTATGCAAGCACAAACATACAATAGTATAACTCTGGGACAACAATACGATTTGCACACATATTGCGTATAACTTGCATGCGTACAGAAGGAATTGTTGAGGAAGTTAAGGGAATGGAGCACAACGAATTTTGGGCATGTTTTGCGAGATATTGAAAGACTGTGGTCTGAACTATCGGACCTACACGGAAGTAACTATGCCCGGTCTTTGATAAAGCAGAAGATGAAGGAACTCGATGAGCTACTCTACAGGGAGGAAATGCTATGGTTGCAATGTTCACGAATAACTTGGTTGAAGGAAGGGGAAAGGAACACCGAGTACTGGCATCAAAGGGCTGTTTGGAGGGCTAGACGAAATCATATTCAGCGGCTGCGCAAAACGGATGGCACGTGGTGCAATGCTCCATCTCAGATGGAATTGATGACACGTTCCTATTTTCAGGAAGTGTTTACGAAGGACCCTACTCTAACTCCTGATGTAGTGCTTGATTGTATACAAGAGAAGGTAACAACAGAGATGAATGATATGTTGTGTGCTCTGTTTTCCGAGAAGAAAATTTCAGATGCACTGTTCCAGATCGGTCCTTTAAAGGCCCCCGGTATGGATGGTTTTCCCGCTCGATTTTATCAACGTAACTGGGCAGTTGTCAAAGCTGAAATAATTGCAGCAGTGATGGATTTCTTCATAACAGGGGTGATGCCGGAAGGAGTAAATGACACAGCAATTGTTTTAATCCCCAAAGTTCAATTCCCAAAAGAACTCAAGGATTTTTGACCGATTAGCTTGTGTAATGTTATTTATAAGATAGTCTCCAAGTGCTTGGTTAACTGTTTGCACCCTATTCTCTCTGCTCTAATTTCGGAGAACCAAAGTGCTTTCATTCCAGGGAGGCTAATCACGGACAACTCCATCATTGCATTCGAGTGTATTGATTATATTCAGTCAGTTGGAGATAATTCACCGGCATGTTGTGCATATAAATTGGACCTATGCAAAGCATATGACAGGGTGGACTGGATTTTCCTTGAGAAGGCCCTAGGCAAGTGGGGTTTTACTCAGAGGTGGATTTCTTGGATCATGGCTTGTGTGTCTTCAGTGAAGTATTCTGTAAAATTAAATGGAAAACTTTTAGAGGCTTTTAACCCATCCCGTGGCCTCAGACAAGGTGATCCTTTGGCCCCATTTCCATTTCTCTTTGTTGCTGATGCATTATCTCGGTTGGTGAACAAAGCTGTTTCGGAGGAGGGTTTGGAAAGAGTTAAAATCTGTCGGCATGCACCAACGATTTCACACTTGTTATTTGCGGACGATTCATTATTGTTCTTTCAAGCCACAGAACAGCAAGCTACTATTGTGAAAGGTTTTTTGAGCACTTATGCGAGGGCGACGGGTCAACTTATGAACCCATCAAAGTGTTCCATTCTTTTCTCTAGTAATTGTAATGAAGTGGTATCCTTCGAAGTGAAGAAGATCTTGGATGTTACAAGTGAAGTATTTGAACCTAAATATCTTGGGTTGCCAGTACCAGAAGGAAGAATGCACAAAGGAAGGTTTGAGACTACACAGGAAAGAATTCGTAAGACGCTAGTTGACTGGAGTGAGCAGTTTATGTCTATAGGTAACAAGGAGATTTTGATCAAAGCAGTAGCTCAAGCGATACCCACTTATATTATGAGTGTTTTTCGATTACCTATGTCGGTTTGTGATGAACTCACCAAGATGATGAGGCAGTACTGGTGGGGAGTTGACAAAGGTAAAAGGAAATTGGCATGGTTGAGTTGGTATAAGTTGAGACTCCCCGAGTGCAAGGGGGGTATGGGGTTCAGGGACATGCACGCTTTCAACCAAGCCTTGCTTGCAAATCAGGCCTGGAGATTAATTGAAACCCCTGACAGCTTATGCGCTCGTCTACTGAAGTCAAAGTATTTTCCAAATGGCAGTCTACTGGATACTGTTTTCAGTGGACATTCTTCGACTGTTTGGAAGGGCATATTGTATGGACTTGATCTTGTGAAGAGAGGTTATATCTGGATGATACGGGATGAAGCCTCAGTCAAACATGGAGGGATCCATGGATTCCCCGGCGAGGTGATTTTAGACCGATTACTCCTAAGCGGAATTGTCGTTTTAACAGAGTTTCAGATTTTCTGGACAACAATGGTGCTTGGATCATGGAACGTCTTGAGGAACTTTTTGGCCGATGGATATTGTGGAGATTGTTAAAATACGCACTTCCCCACGCAACAGCAGTGATTTCATTGGATGGTTTCCTGAGGCACGTGGTACGTTTACGGTGAAGTCGGCGTATAAATTAGCAACTGAAGCTCATGACGAGGCTTTCACTGGTGGGGCGTCTAGTGCCAGCCCAAATGGCAGCCGAACCATATGGAGCTCTATATGGAAGACTAATGTCCCACTTAAGATGAAGATCATGGCGTGGCGTACAGCAACAGGGCCACTGGCCACTAACCTGGCCAAGAGTAATCGCAATATCCGAGGTGTTAGTACGTGTCCACTGTGTGGAGTTGAGCAAGAGAGCAGTTTTCATGCGCTTATTACATGCAGGTATGCTCGGTGTGTATGGGAAGGTGTACGTAAGGTTTGGCCTTTACCTGATGATTCTATGCTAGTGGACACATGAAAGGATCGGGTGCTTCAGCTTTTGGCAAAATGTTCAGATCATGTAAGACACCTTGTAATTATGACTATATGGCGGATTTGGAAGCTACACAATGACAGAACGCATGAGAAGGGTGAGTGCTCAGTGCAGGCAACAGTTGATTTATCTGGACAACTATTATAGATCTTTGAATCTTGTCAAGAAGTATAGCATGGAGGAGATTATAAAGGGGGAGATGGTGTCTGATGTGTGCAGCCAGACTTGTAAGAACAATACCTGCCATACTCCTGTCAAGCATTGGCCTCCGCCACCGACATGATGGGTGGCACTTTCTATGGACGGATCCTTCTCGGTTCACAACGGGTGTGCGTCCATTGGTATGGTACTTTGGAGTGAGAGTGGTAAGTTGATCTTCGCTGCCTACAGATACATCTTCAATTGTAATGATGCCTTAGAAGCAGAGATTCATGTGTTGATGCAAGGTATGGCTTTGGCTATTCAGCACTCGGACAAGCCTGTCATTGTCCAATCAGATTCTATAAATGCCCTCGCCACTCTTGGAGGAAACACTTTGGTCAGATCAGCCTATGGTCACTTAGATGTTGAGATTAAAGCTCTTATGATTGATCGAGAGTTTGTTCCACTTAAGATTACTAGAGATCAAAACAGGGTAGCACATCGACTCGCTTTTTATAGCCGTACCGAGGCTTGTACTGCGGTATGGTTGAATTCGACTCCTCCATGTTGTGAGGATTCGTTGGCTCGAGATTATAACCCTATCATTATGGAATGAAACTCTCTTTTACCCCGCAAAAAAAACTTGCATGCATACGAC